GACACCAGAGATGGAGGCAGAGATAAGAACATAGAAGGATAGAACAGCTGAAGACACTAGATTTCATGGCGAGAGAAAGGCTGTGTGCTTGCAGCCAGGAGGCAGGCTTGCAGAATGTGCCCTTTGGTTGTTTAAATGATTATATATTTCTAAGTGATTTGTGTACACCACCCCCCGCAAAAAAAAAACAAAAAAAAAACGAGTAAATAGAAGCAAATGTTGTTGAATGATGATGCACCAAAGAGATTGTAGGTAGACATTGATGCAAGGATAGTATTTTCAGTAACTTCACATGCATGTGAAAGTTGGACAATGTATAAGGAAGACTGTAGAAAATTGATGCATTTGAGCTATGGTGTTGGATGAGAATATTGAAATACCATGACTGCTGAAAAAAACCAAACAGATCTGTGTTGGAAGAAGTACTGCCAGAGTCCTCCTTGAAAGCCAGGATTACCAGGCTTCGTCTCTCATACTTTGGATATTTTATCAGGAGGGACTCATTACTGGAGAAGGATATCATGTTTGGTAAAGTAGAGCAACAGAGAAAAAGAGGAATACCCCCAATGAGATGGACTAGCACAGTGGCTGAAGCATGAATTCAAGTATAATAACAATTGTGAGGTTGGCCCTGGACTGGGGAGTGTTTCGTTCTGTTGTGCATAGGGTCTCTATGAGTCAGTACAGACTCGATGGGACCTAACATCAGTAATAACAGTATCTGGAGAAGAATCTCCTGCTTGATAAAATAGAGGGTCAGCAAAGAAGAGTCAGACGTTCAACTAGATGGATCAACACAGTGACTGCAACAATGCGTCCAATCACAGCAACAATTAGGACTGAGCCAAATGGTGGATTGTTTCTTTCTTTTGTATTTAGGGTCATTATGAGACAGAACAGACTTGAAGGCAACTAACAACAACAGTTACCTTTCTGATAAAGGTTATAGAAATTTCAAAAAATGACACATTTTTGTTTAATATTTGTAATTATCAAAATTTAAATTTACAGAAGCGTGACTCATAGAATTTTCAAGTCCATAAATCTTTAAGCCAGCTGGCACATCTTTCTTCTGTAGAGCAGCTAGAGCAGCTGATGGACTTCCAACCACTGACCTTTCAGTTAGAGGCAGAGTACTCTAGCCACTGCGCCACCAGGGTTCAAGTGTGACTCACTTGAATCAAATGACTGTGAAAAAACAAATGTAGACAGGAATCCTGTAAACTGATTCTTATAAATGACAAATGTAGACAGGAATCCTGTAAACTGATTCTTATAAATGACAAATGTAGACAGGAATCCTGTAAACTGATTCTTATAAATAATTGAAATAAAAACATCTTTTAAATAACATCTATGTTACAATTGAAATTCTGCTGTGGCACTTTGTACTTATTATATTGCTAACTAAAATGCCGACAGCTCACAATCTTCTCCCTATGTGGGGTCACTAACTTGATGACACTTAACAACAACTATATTGTAATTGTATAAAAGGTCTAATCCTACCAGGGGCTTCAAAAAGTTTGTGGAAAAGTTCCATTATCTTTGAACTCCAATTTTCATGAACTTTTGAAGTCCCTTCATATAATCTACTTCATTTAAATTGAATTAATTCAATAAAATTATAAATATACATATGTGTATAGCCATAAATATCTGAGAAATAAATGGCTAAAAGGCACACATGTGGTATTTAATAAAAAATTATTGAATTTGTTAATATATGAAACAAATCTGCAAGAGGACTTTGAGATTAATTAGTCTTCCTGCTTAATTTTCTAGATGATATAATCAGATTCTAAATTTCTAAACTTTCTAAAAATCACTTAACTAAAACTCTGTAACATTTTTCCATTGCATTATGATTTATTAATTTGTTTCCTTTATGTTTAGGCTTAAATATATTACTTGAAATGCTTTCATACTAACTGAAAAGTAATACTGAATATTATTAAATAACTGATTAGAAAGTTATGGGGTTTTTTGGATTGGCAAATAAATGTCATTTAAAACATCAATATTTTAATATCTTTTTTTAAATTTTATCTGCAGTTAATTAAGTATTTTAAAATATAGCCTTTTATTAGAGTTAAAAATATAAATTCCCAAATGGAAATTCCTATAAATTAGGTTTTCACTGAAAAAATTTTTTTTATAGGTTTGTAAACTAGAAATGTATTTAGTTGTTAACTCACTAAGCTCATATTTTCTCTGATGTGCATCTCTAGTGTTGTACCTTTTTATTCTTATTTCATTGTTTACAGAAAGCTGGGCACAAACCAGAAAGTGTGGATTTGTTTGGAGCACGTATTGAATGGACCAAAGAAAAATCAAGCAGAAAGAATGTCTTTCAGGTAAGAATACTACATATGTTCAGTTTATTTCCACTCCCTGTCAATTAGAAGATTCTTGGGCAATAAAAACAAGACTACCTTGTTGTGTGTTTTCATATGTACAAACCAGTTGTCTGAAGGTCATTGTGGATGATTGGTTTCCCTTCCTTGTTGATTTCTTGGTTTATTTTATTATGTTCCCTGGTGAATAGTTGTCATCTAAGCATAAAATATGTGTTGTTATGATGATTAATTTTAAAACAAATGTCATTGAATTTTGAAATGCATCTTTTCTTTTTATTGTGAGTTAAAAGAAGGCTTACAGAGCAGGTCAGTTTTCCATTCAACAATTAATGCACATTTTGCATCATCTCTTTGATTGTAAACTTCACTATGAAATACCTTTTATCCCGCTTCATTTTCTGTTTCCATTCCTCCTTCTTTCCAGACTACTGAATTTTGTCCTTGGGAAAATGCTGTCCTTTGGCTTTTAGGTGGTTAATAATTTTAGGATGTGTGTACCTCCCCAGTGTTATTGGTCCCCCTATAGACTCATCTGGGGAGCAGGTGGCTCTCTGTAGGATAAATCCTAGACTGCGAACCAAAAGTCAGCAGTTGGAGTCTACCAGCTACTCAGAGGGAGAAAGATGAGACTTTCTACTCCTACAAATACTGCTTTGGAAACCCTATGAGTTGAAACTGACAAGATGGCACTTAACAACAGCAACAAAATAGACTTGCCTAAAGAACTGTGGTGGTGCTATGGGTTAGGCACAAGGTCTATGGTTCAAACCCATCAGCTGCTCCGCAGCAGAAACATGAGGTTGTCTGTTGCCATAAAGATTTACAATCTCAGAAACCCTGTGTCATGTCGCTTGAAATCAACTTGCTGTCAGTGGCTTTGGTTTTGGCTCTTGGACTAATCTTTTGTTGCAGTCCTGATGTAATGCTATAGGATCATTACCAGGCTGCCAACTATAGGTCAGTGTTTCAAATCCAGTAGCCGCTCCTTAGAAATCCTATATAGGTTCACAATGAGTTGAAACCCACTCAACAGCAGTTAACAACAGCAACAATATTATTTGTCTGAAAATTGGTGCATGGAGGTGAGTTCATTTCCAAATCTATTTGAAAAGCATTTGGAGTTTAAATCTGGAATACTTAATCTAAATTGAGTTAATCTAGAAATTTCAAATGTATACAGACTGAGATTACCTAATAATGATAAACTACTTACATTCATTGATACTTCTGCCCTCCACTAACTACATTAACCTGTAACTTACAAAGATAAAGCTGATCATCTATAAATTATGTTTCTTTTCATATTGTAAAATTTAACCTTTGCAAAATAGCTGAGATTATTCATTTAAAACACATTTTGTTGACTGTAAATAGCCAAACAAAAATCCTTTTAAGAGAGGATATGGAAACATTTAGTATTTCGTATTCTATGTTGCCATGATATCGCTATTTATAATTTTAGATTATAGAGATTCATCTTTTCCTATTTTTAAGGGATATTTCCTTTTATGTTTCCAAAGTAACTATATAGCTATTATTAAAATATTTATCAGCTAGTAGCCAAAGGTACCAGCTTGTTCTAATTATTATATATATATATATATATATATATATATATATATATATAATCACTTAAGAGCATTTGGGCCTTTGAAAAAAATTCAGATATTCTTAATTCTACTGCTGAAATGAAAATATTGGAATTTACAGTAGAATAAAAACCCAAACCCTTGTGCTGTTAAGTCAGTTCTGACTCAACAACCCTACAGTATAGATTAAAATTGCTCCATATTATTTCCAAGACGGTAATATTTAGGACACTAGACTGCCATATAGTTCTCCCATGGAGCCACTAGTAGGTTTGAACCTATAACCTTTCAGCTATTATCCAAGATCATACACATGATTAACCATTGTGCCACCAGAGCTATTTTTTAGAAGTATACATAGGTAAATGATATTTCCTATTAGACTCTTCCTGGGGGAAAAAATGAACAACTGGTTTTCTGTTTGGTCAGCTATCTGTAGATGTGAATAAAGTTATCCAACTAATTTAGATCTATTAGAATTAACAATAGCAACAACACTTTTAATTTCTGGAATCAATGATTTTCCTGATTATAATTTGATATTATCCATTGCTCTGGTAGTGTAGTGGTTACAAATTGGCCTGCTAACCTCAGGGTCAGCAGTTCAAAACTACCAGCTATACTGCTGGAGAAAGATGAGGCTTTCTGCTCCAGTACAGATTTATAGCCTTGGAAACCCTGTACAGGGTCGCTATGAGTCAGAACCAACTCCATAGCTCTTAATAACAACAACAATTGTTGATTTGGAGTCCTGGTGTGGCGCTGTGGATTAATGCACTAGACTACAAAGTCAGTTTGCACTGCAAGGTTGGTAGTTCAAGCTAGCCAGCTGCTCCTCGGAAACTTTATACAGGGTCTCTGTGGGTTGGAATTGACTTGACAGCACTCAACAACATTTTTTATATGATAGGAAATTTTTGTTGTTGTATTTTTAGCCATAACAAGGAAATAAAAATGAAAGAAACTACAATGGGAGAGTGAAAAGCAGGGAGAAGGAGGGAAGGTAGGAAGAAAAGAAGGAGGGAGGGGAGAAGGAAAGAAAGTGGGGAGAGATGACCAGGGGGTGGAGGGAGTAAGCAATGGGGGAGAAAAGGAAAACCAAAAATTGTTACCCAGAAAGTAAAGGTCTAAAAGGAAAAGTATTAGAATGTGGCTTTTCAGTTATAAGACAAATAAATTTTGTTTTAAAGTGAGGAACTGTAAATTGAGTCTAATTTCCCAGTTGCTTTATTCCTTTTTATTATTATGCCATATATAGCACTGTATACTTTATAAATTTATACAGTATAAATTGTATACTTTATAAACTTAATCTCTGTAACAGTTTCAGTGATCAAGGTGATGAGATCGGAATTGAAGTGGTTAAACTTAATTGCAATATTACTTTAACAACTTAGTCACCAAAGCATTTTTTTTTCTTAAAAAAAAAAGAATTAGGGGAGGATTTATTAAAATTTGACATAGACTCAGTTCTTGAGCAATCGAAGTTCCTGGAGACGTGTGGAACCAGTATTTTACAGTTTTTTCTGTGAACTTTATGAAGCGTTAAATTGCAAATGAAAATATTAGTCAACTATGTCTGAAGCATTTTTGTTAACTGTCTTTTCAGGAGCAGAAAGTCTCATCTTTCTCCCTCCCATGGAACAGTTGGTGGGCTCAAACTGCGGACCTTGTGGTTTATAATCCAGTCCTTATGATATGGAGCCACTGGGCTCCTCACCTTATGTATATGGAGATGCAAATATTGAAGAAAACTATATCTATATAATTTTACATAATTATGAGCATGATAAGATCTACTAGGTGGTACACAGAGCCCTGCTTAAGCACTTGGGCTGCTGAGCAAATGATCAGTGTTTTGAACTCTGCAGCAGCTATATGAGGAGAAAGGTGGCAGTCTGCTTCTGTTAAGATTTACAACCTTGGAAACTGAATGGGCTAGTTCTTCTCTGACCTGTAGAGACTCTATGAGTTGGAAGTGATGTGACAACAATAGGTTTTTTGGTTTAGGTGCTGTGACATATTTATTGTCTGTTGTTAACCTAGCCCAGTGGTGTTGCAGTAGAAAAGGCCTAGCCATCTACTTCCATTATGATTGTTGTTGTTGTTAAGTGCCATCACAGTGAGCCTGCTTAGTATTCCAGAGGAGCGTCTGGTGAGCTTGAATTACCCACCTTGAGTCTCAAACTGACTTTGCATCTAGTGCTGATCCTACAGTACCATGATTACAGTTAAGAAATCCCTGTGGAAACACTCCACCACATGGGATGCCATGTAACAGAGTTGATGCCCGGACAACTAAAAAAACAACAAATGAGCATAATATATGTAGATGTATGTTTAGATCAACTTTATCAGTGGTATGTACCACCTGTTGTTTTCATGTGCCTTGGAGGCAGTCTAACTCATAGTGACCCTGTAAAAGGTTTCCATGAAGTGGTTGATGGGTTTGAAGTGCCAACCCTGCAGTAGCATTCCAGTGCTTACTCTACAATGCCACATCAGGACTCCATGTATTCCTGTTGTTAAATGCCATCAAGTTGGTTCTGACATAGTGAACCTGTGTAGGGTTTCCCAGCTTTACTTGTGGGCTTATCCTACAGCGCCATACCAGGACTTCCTGTATCCCTACCATTTTGTAAATATGACTGGTTACCTACTGTTATAATTTTGAAGTGTGGTGATATTTTAGAGGTGAAATCTTGTCAACTAGTTTTGCTAGTCCTATAATGGGGCAGTTTATGAAGTGTCAGTGTTCTTATATGTAGTATATCATTTGCTTTGTACCCATTAGTTTAAATAAATGAGATGGTTATAAGGATATAGAGTATAGCAAATCCACACAATGGTGCAAGTTTAATTTCCTACTTCGTTCTCTTGGGGGTGAATCACTTTGTTTCCTTGTCAGGCAAAAATGTTGTTTTTTATCACCTAAACACAACAGTTTCATTAGAATATACTAATATACCAATTATGGATACCACCATACATACAAACTATGAAACTAAGCCTTTTTGACAGAAGGAATATAATTAGCTTTTATAGTTCTGGTTAAAAAAGAAGTATCAGGAAGGATTTGCCAGAGACCTAACCTAAATCTAGATGACTTGCATTAATAATTGATTAGATATATTAGCTGGTATAACTCTCAAATGATCAGACTAAACATGATTATTTCTCAAAAAAAAAACAAAACAAAACATGGTATTAGGCATTGTTGGGTGTTTGAGTGTTTGTGTGCAAAGACTTCATTACCTACAGAATAAAGAAATATTTCTTCCAGACTGAGAAGGACCATCATTGTTTCAGCTGATGTGTGGCAACAGAAATAGCTTTAGAATTTCAAGTTTGAATTAGACTTGGTATTCAATCTCAGTCTATGAATTATAGATTACAGATCACGAATGA